TTCTTTTTTGTCAGCCTCTCAGATCTACCGTAGGTATACTGTAGATGGAGTATGCGTAACTATAGTTGAAAAATGTGGGCTGGTCCATAAAAGGCCTTGGTTCCAAAAAGCAGGCAACCAAAAATCTGCATGGTTGTCAATGTGTTAACGTTGATACGGAAGAGACATCAAAAACATACCTATTTTTAAGCTTACAATATGGAATTTTGAAAAATTTTAGCACTTATAAGTAATCTGCAAAAGCTATAGTATTCTATTTACACACTTCGCAAAATTTTCGAGCTGTTTTTTAAGCGTTTAAACCCATCCAAGGCACAGCGTAACATAGTATTCGAAAATGGGATTTTCGTTCCATAAAATTTTTTTGGTTTGTAGTCGAACTTTTTACTTAACTTTTTGAAAACTGGGAATACTTTGATAGCAGTTCGGTAGAGCAACCTTAGAGCTTCCGAATGCATACACACCATGCCAAATGCTTTGTGAAATGTTGAGAAAAAATTGAAACAAAAAATACGAACGAACTTATTGCACAACCTAATAATTCATCATTTACTTTGTAAGGTTAGTAATAGCAGTTATGTGCTGAACCTTCAATATTCTGAAACTTTGCAGTGTTTTTTTTTGCAAGAACAGGTCACGCTATCTTTCCAAAACTCGAGACTTTTGGAAAGTTATTTAGCAAAAATCTAAATCTAAAATAGTAGCTGAAAAAAGAGGGAAGACTGCTTCAGAGCTGGCAGGTTTGCAATAGCTGGCTATTAAAACTTCCCCAAAAGTCTCAGATAAAAATTTTGAAAATTAGCGCAAGTTGAACCTGTTGAAAGTAAAGGGTTGTAAAATCCAGCGATAATCTAAGCACTGTCAGCAAATACACTGGTAATACAGCAACTGGATAAAGGAAGAAATTCCGTATTTACATTTTGAAGCGTCTGTTTGTCTCTGTAAAGAGTCACAATTGCAGATTACAGGCATCCAGCACGCCAGCCATCCTGGCGAAGTGCCAAGTGTACCATTGCGTAAATATGTCGACAGCGTCAATGTACAGCAGATAGAGACCGATCACTAGGGCTTGCACCCATGAGCGCCCCTCGCCACCTCCCTATTCGCACACGCCGTAGTCTACACGCTCATTGATGAGTACGTTAGTTTTGGCGTGCTAGTCGAGCACGCGCTCTCCATAATCACTCGCGTGTGTCCAAAAAAGCTGGCAATGCAATCTTATCATTCGTTATATACTGATTTAGAACAAACTTGCGTGCTTCGTAAATGCCTTGTAATCAATGAAATTTTTTGCACTTTTCCGTTATCTGAACTTTCTTAGGCGTGCACATAAAATAGATACATTCTTTGTTTCAAAAGTTTTCTTTATAGAACGGGACTGAGATTCAGCCATGTGTGAAAATAAAAATTAACATTTTTGCGTTTAGTGTGACACCGGTGAAGTGCTAGAGCTCTTTAAATCGCCCAAGAGCTGTTTACGTTTCTTTGGAAAAGCAAATCAATCCGATTTATCAAGACATTTTGTGGAGATAGAAAGTAAAAACAAAGTCACAACAATCAGGCCTTCCCGACGCCAAATGACGATTATATCGATTGGTAATGAAGTGCCAAAACACAGGATTCTGAAAAGTTTAAGCAAACTTACATGGATAAAATGATGCTGAACTCAATTGTTTGATAAGAGTATCGGTTGAAGGATTTGAAGGGTAACGGTAAAGTTACGGCAAGCAACACAAGGTGCGACATTGCGTACCGCTGGATGTAAAAAAGTACCTAAGAGCCGCAAGATGTTTTTAGAAAATTCAAGAGAAGCCAAGTTCAAGTATTGGAACTAAAATTCGATATCCAAGTTGAGGGAAGTTGTGACGGTGCGAACACAACAACGCGGCAATGCTTTCATATCGTCGACGGTCCCGAAAAAACGTCTTTAATAACGACATCTTGAAACTTCTTGGAGATCATACAAAAAATTGGAAAATGCGACATCATGAAACTTCTTGAGACATATTTAGATTGCCCAGGTGGTACTGTTTTCAAATATTCAAGCCAGAGTTTAACTGGTTGAGGCCCGTATGCACTTACACACCTCTCTTTAGGTCAGTAAGTACGGGGCATGGAGTAAATCGATAAGGTCCAAAAAACTATGTATAGTAAGTAGTTAACATAGAGCACGCTTGCAAAACTTGAGCCCTTTAGCTTCATTTTGAGCCGAGTTATAAATTCGCGAAGTTTTGTGCAATATATTGCACGGTCGCTTCTCTTGGGTCAATACTTACCAAAACCGATCTACGCTTTTCTACGGAACTCATTTTGGAGAAATAGGAAAAAGACGTAGTGCAATTTATTGCGCAGTCACTTTTCCGCTGGGGAGGGGAGGAGATAAGAAATATCTCGTATCATATCACATCTCGTTACTCTAGGGGCGGCATGCATCCCCCCCCCCCCAGTCAGGGAGGGGATCGCAGGTTGAAAGAAAGCTTCATACTTTGAAGCTTCGGTTATCTGGATCTCAGGCTTATAGCTACCGTAGGTATTATCGTCATCCTTCACTATGAACATATTGAACAGGAGCAAGAAGCTGTACAGGCCACATTTTCCGATTTTTTGTATGATCCCCTGATGATCCCCAGCAACTGACAGTTTTTCCTTCAAAGTCGTTTTTCTTCCTTTAAAGTCAACAAAAACTTTCCAAAGTTCTGCTGATTATCCGACCCACCAATGCTGAGCATGTTACTCTTAAGATCTCATAATGTATTGGAGTCATGAAATTCGCGATGAACCACCAGTCTTAGATGGAAGCGGGGTCATCGAAAAATCCGATATTTCAAACTCGTTTGCTCTTATTCGAAGTATGCTTGGCACTTTTTAATCAGATAATCAGTAAAGCTTTGGCACGTCTCTATTAACTTTGAAGAAAGAAAAATGGCTTCTTAAAAAGATTTGGCCGCAGGGAATCGCCAGGGGATCATGCAAGAAAGCTGGAAAATGCGGCTTGTACAGCTTCTTGCACCTGTTCAGCATGTTCATAGTGAAGGATGGTGAGAATACTTACGGTTTGGTAGAAAGCTAAAAAATCCAGATATCTGGAACTTTAGGATATGCTTTCTTTTGAGCTGCGATCTCCTCCACGGCGGAAATGTTGCTGCATGCGGCTTAAATATGTGTATTCTTCTTAATCCTTCATTATAAAGATTTTCATACACTGGCGCTTGAGCGTAATGGTTGGCAAATCATTGCCTCATGGGGCGCGTCAAGCGAGAGCAATGTGCGAAAAAGTGACCGCCTTGCGATACCCATGCGCAGCTGCACGCTTGAGTTCGCTCGCTTTTAGAGCAAATTGGGTGAGGCTCAAACATCTGAAAATAGGGTAATTTCTACTACAAACAGGTTTTGCAGTGCCATGGTATATCCTCGGTACAATTACAGCATTTCCATTGGGTATGTAGGAAGTAAATGATTTGAAATGTGAGGTGATTCCCCAGGGATCCACCAGAGAGTCACACAAAACAGTAAAATCGCAGTTATTCTGGCAATGCTTATGAGAACCTTCATAAAATAGATAAAAAAGAGTGGTACAGATATCTAAAGTAACGAGGTATGAGATATGACGCGTCCCATGTCAGACACTCCCTCTCCACCTCCCCCTTCCCCAGTGGGGATGTACTAGGCTTATCATCTGCAGTGTCGGGAGCACCAGCATCTCCGCTTGCGGCCGCTTCGCTCGGACTTTGCACCTCTTTCGCGAGCATGCTCTCTGATCACTTTCCTAATGCGCGAACTTAGGCGGAGTTTCAATTGATTGGATATGTCAGAGAGCATGTTGCGGAAGAGGTGCAGCGAGGTCTCGCGCGAGAGTGGGGATGCTGATGCACCCGACACTGCAATTGACAAGCTCTGTGCGTGCATACGGGCCTAAGTATTAGGTTGGTGCAAAAGTAATGCGCGTTTTGCGAGTTCTCACTTTGACGTGCTATAACTTTCTAAAAAATCCATATTTCTCAGCGCGGCAAAATCCATGAGAGGCACCAAACCTCTCTCTATACAGCGCACCTTAATTTGTGCTGACATCGCAAAACGGTGAAAAAATATGGATTGATAAGCAAAAGAAATCTTTTTCGGAAAAACTTCTTTCAAGATTTGTTGGTATAAATGAAAACTTGACTGTCTTGTAGCCGCAAGCCAGTAGTACAAAAAAAATTGAAAGGGGCTCAAACAAAGGAGATTTGAGAAAAGGAAAAAGGAATATTTAAAATTGTCCGCTTTTTTCGACATTTTTTCGTAGCCCTCAAAATCACAAAATATGGAGATTTTTGATTTTCTGTGTACTGAACAGCTTCCACATTTCTGCAAAAACTGTCAACAGGAGGTCCACCCTTACGCTTACAGGAATGGGCAAAACTTTGGCGATTGCCCTCTTCAAAGGAAATCTATGGGCCACAGAATGTTCAAAACCATCACTCATGTTGGGGCACCGAAATCTCAGTCTAAAGGATTTCTGAGAAAACAGCAAAGCATGCATAAAGTAGAAAATTTCTACTACATACGGTAGTTAAATTTTCAAAAGAATGCGATTACTCGCGCTCAAATTCTGGCCAAAAAAGTAAGTGCAGTGAAATTCTGATTTCGACTGCGGTTGTATGAAGCTCTATAAATTATTAACGATTGAGGCTAGAAGCTTCTTTCAACCACCATTGAATAGAGCATGAAGGAAGCTTCTTTAAAGTATGCTGCGTAAGCTTATAGGAGAAACTTCGATGGAGAAAAGTTGTCTTGAAATAAAGGCTAAAAAACGCGCATTACTTTTGCGCCAACCTAATATAAGCGAGGGGCAGCAGTGTTGATACTGTAATATTTAGAGATAGTGTCGTTTCTTTCATAATGATTTCAAAAAGTTTTATAAACTGTTCAGACAGTTTAGAGCTTAACTTTGTGTGTATGTCATATACCAATTGAACCAAGTTAGATTTAATTCCTATGATCATTCTTGCAAATAGAATAAATGGCGAATAAATGGGTGGCAAGTTCGATCAACGAAGCATCACTATCAAAGCCTTTTTATTCGTGATCCTCAGTGTGATTTTCAGAGCATCACTAATTACATACGCAGACCAAACGTTTGCGTCTTTCCTCCGGGACGTAACGCATTTCACAGTGTCCTCCGTGCTTGCGACCCTGAAAAGTTAATAACTATTTATCTTTATGATTTTTACGTGTAAGGAAGTAGTGGTTTTTGATATAGGCAGCGCTACCCAAAATTTCAAAAATCCTTTACAACCACAGTATTGAACCATTCATTGTTGACGTAGAAGAATTATCGATTACATTTTCGTACCGTTGCTTTATGCACTTTCTAACAGATCTTACGCGAAGAAGCACCGCGTGCCTAAAGAAACGCAAATCCGTGCCAAGAGGGCAATTTGCCTAATAATTCAAAAAATCACCCTTTAACCTTTGGCCACCTTTACTACCTATCGCTAGACTGCTCGTACTCTTGTGCAAACACACCACAAATTAGAACACCGCCCATGGCCACATTCAGAGAATGCTTCTGCAGACAACAAACGTAGTTCTAAGATTGGCGTTGCAAAGTGAACCTCATGACATAATACCAAAGCCGCGATTATTGATCATTCCTTCACTGCAATTGCAAAGAAAGTGCCCTTCTATGAGCTACACAAACGGATGCGAGCATTCTTACTAAGTGTTTGTTCCTCTGAACTTTTTTCACAGATTTACAGGTTCCTCCATCTAAGCGGTCTCGAAAAAAGGGCTCGTAATGCCTTCAATTATATTGGAGAGGGAGAACAAACTAACAAGGGAAGGATACTTGGTCACCGCGGCCTTTCATAATGATTTGTATATCAAAAAATGCGCCTTTTGATGCTGGTTCGAATACTGTCTTCCATATCCGCGAAACGATAATATGATTGGAGTTATGATATTTTTTCCATGAATAAACAGCGTTACTGCGGAGGGTCAAAATCATCAATAAAAAGTTTCTTTCCTTTCTTAAATGCTGAATACGATTTAGATAGGTATAATACAACAGTATTTTTTTGAGATTCTCTTCAATAGTTCAACTCAAAACAAATTTGGAGATTTTATCTACACGAAAGTATGCCGATTTTTTACGAAAAAAAGTTCATAACTTCCTTCAGAAGATCGTTTCGCAGATATCGAGCACAGATTTGGAATCAGCGTTTCGAGGTGCATCCTGCAGTATACATTTCAAATGGCCACGATGTCCGAGTATCCTTTCCTTGTAAGTGTTTTTCGAAATACCACTGTCTCAAAAATGTAATCATCTGATTAACCGTTATAATTCTCCTCAAGCGTCTCTAGAGCTCAGGCCATGCCGTCATGCCATAGTGCCCGATGCGAAGTTGCGTACTGGGTAAATTGCCAAGCCGAGTGGCTTGATTACCTAACCATGCGCAAGGCATAGATAGGGCTCAAAAGTGTTGAAGAAAGTTAACGATATCGGTAATTACTTTTATAACACATTAGTATTCAAAAAATTTGTTTGATCCCTTTTCAATTCATGCCATCAAAAGCCGTTGTAGCTTCGCCCCCGAAAAATTGTTGATTTACTAATTGCGGTTCGTCTATTCGCGTTATATGCCTACATAGAAACGTGCGTAAAAATTTACGCTTTTAGAAATGTCTCTCCAAAAAAAACTGTCAATAATAACTTCTACCGAGTGAATTTGACTCGTAGTTTGACTAATATTCAAATAATCTGCATAAGAGCTTTTTCAGATCTCTAGATTACTTATCCATATGTGCTAGTTATATTATTATAGATTAGCAAGAAACTCTTGCGCAATTCCAACAGAAATTCATCACCTCTTAGATTATAAGCTTAAATTTATGTTTTGCATAAAGGCTTGCGCCAATTGATCGCCAATGTGATTTACAGCCAACTTTTCGTTGGTTAGCTCCAGAGCACAAAAGCAACACTGCAAATTTCTTGTTTTCATTTTGTCTCATCTAGCTAATGAAACATATGTTCAAAAAAAATTGTACATAACCTAGTTGTTCACATAGTGATATTGGCAGGCATCGATCTCGCATACGCAAAAATAATACGAATCAAAACAAAGCATATGCAGAATAGTGATATATCATTATATTAGGTTGGTGCAAAAGTTCTTTCCCACCAAATTCAAAAATTCATATCTTCTAATTTTTGCAACCGATTTGACTGTTTTTATTTTTGTATGAAAGAGCAAATCGTGCCCTTTACAATGACTCCTTAGATGCTTGCCAAAGATCACCTGTGGCATAGACAGGAGTGATAGAAGAAAATTAGTCAAAATTCGAATTTTTTGTGTAGGGTCATAAAAAATCGGAAACTTGCAACAAAAATCGGAGCAGTCGGTATTGTAGGTTCTTTCACCAGCTCTTTCTGACAGTGTAAAGTTTGCGCCGATTGAGCGTCTCTATGAGAAGTTACAATTTCCCTAAAAAATGCCAAAATAAATCAAATTCGCCCTTTTGTATTGCTTGCTCGAAAATCGTAATTTTTCATAGAGACGTTCAATCGGCGCAAACTTTGCACTGTTAGAAAGAGCTGGTAAAAGAACCTACAATACCGACTGCTCCGATTTTTGTTGCAAGTTTCCGATTTTTTATGACTCTACACAGAAAATTCGAATTTTGACTAATTTTCTTCTATCGTTCCTATCTATGGAACAGATGATTATTAGCAAGCATCTAAGGAGTCGTTATAAAGAGCATGACTTATTCTTTCATAAGAAATAAGAGCAGTCAAATCGGTTGAAAGAATCAAAGTTATGAATTTTTGAATTTGGTGGAAAAGAACTTTTGCACCAACCTACTATATGATAGGATATAGCTTACACTAGCTTTTCTCAAAAGTTGTGTTCAATTTGCAATTTTCTGTCAAAATGTTTTAACTCTTTTCAAAATCAACATTTTCCAGCAGATTAAATTCTGCTGGATTATGCGAGATTATGGCTATCACAGAACAATATGTCATGCGAATAAGTCAAGTGATGGGGAAGAGAAAATCTGGAGAATTTTGCAAGATTTCCTTTAAGACCGTCTACTTTGACATACTAATGCCACCACATAAAGATAGACAGAATTATTTGCTTGCCATGCACAAGTAGTCCATACTTCAGAGATTATTTGAAGACTAAAAAAATTTTAGTTGTCTCTAATGCATAAAAGTTTTTACGAGCAAATTAAAAAAACCATCATTTGAACCTTTCACTGCGCGTGCAAGTAAGCCGACTCTTCGACATTTGATTTTTTCCTGCTGTTGCGAAGATATCTAATTGGCTGATGGTTCCTGCTTGCTCTCGCCTTATCCTAACATATGCAATATCAATAAATCACTTGTTGCTATGCGTAGATTGCTGTTGCTTGTTGAATAACTGAACTTGTTTCCAACTTTTATAAAAAAATTCTAAAAGTAAGACATTTTTATATGGGAGAAAAAGTGTGCGTAAGGTTAGCCCATTACATCCTTAATCATTATAAGATATTATATAGGTAACTTTAAAAGCACTGGAAAATTTTCGCTACAGAAACCTTTTCTTGAGCGTAATTGCATTAATTTGGTACCTCAGATTCAAGGCATAAAATTTTCTCACTGGAAAGCTATTTTCGTCGAGGTTCAGTAAGCACTAGAAGGAGTGAAAAAAAATACTCCTAAATAATATCTATATTACTGCGACAAGGACAAAAATCCAAGAAAATAGCAGCGTTAAAAAAAAGGAAACTGCAAATCGGACAGAACTTTTGAAACAGCCTAGTATAAGGTTTTTGCCTGTTTGCTTAATAATTCTCTTTTCTGAAGAAACAAATGCTTGTATTAGGTTGTCCGTAAATTAATGCAGGTTTTGAATTCCAACCGCAATAAGTCATACACTTCTCATTTCTAAGTAGATTGCAAGAACCATTGGATAGAACAAAGCAAGCTCTACAAGATCGCTATCTTGCTTTAGCAACATCTCTGATTCACCACGAGTTTCGAGCCAAAAACCAAAAAGACCCAACTGCCCGAAAAATTGAGTAAAATCGTAACTCTGTTCATAATAATCCTACCAAAATTCTAACTTGCTCACGTAAACACAATCCACATAAGGCATCTATATACGCGGTTGCCGTATTTTTTTCTGTGTTAGAAATCAAGAAAACGGAATTCGTGCATTTGCCAAAGTGGTACTGTGCCGTTATCACATCAGTAGTTGTATACTACGAATTTGTAGAAATGCAAACGTAAATTCCCAGCTCTTCACAGGCTTTAGTTCTCGAGAAATTTGAATTTTAGCTTGGAGCGTATGACAAGGGAAAACTCTATTCGATATTTCTCAAAAACTAAAGCTTGTAGAGAGCTGGAATTTTGCGTTTGCACTTCTACAGGTTCGTAGTATACAGCTACTTATGTGGGAACGGCACAGCACCACTTTGGCAGATGCACAAAAATTTCCGTTTTCTTGATTCTCAACAGGGGAAAAAATGCAGCAGCGGCGTATATAGATGCCTTATGTGGATTGTGTTTACGTGAGCAAGTTAAAATTTTTGTAGGATTTTTATGAACAGAGTTACGATTTTTCTCAATTTTTCGGGCAGTTGGGTCCTTTTGGTTTTCTGGCTCGAACTCGTGGTGGATCAGAGCTGTTGCTAAAGCAAGATAGCGATCTTGTAGAGCTTGCTTTGTTCTATCCAATGGAGTTTTGCAACCTACTCAAAAATGAGAAGTGTAAGACTTATTGCGGTTGGAATTCAAAACCTGCATTAAATTCCGGACAACCTAATAACTGTACCAGCGAGCTTCGGCATAGTAGCGTCCCACATTGGCGCTGCTCTATCCGGTCTTTCAAGCAAGAGATATGCATCCCAGAAGCAATGTTCATAGTTACACTGCGCATTACTGATTTGTAGTGCATCGTTCCATTCGTGCGATGCTTTTACCTCCAGAATAACGCAAAAACTGTGCGCTGTCACTGTTCGCTGTCTTGACTATCAAATTTATAGCGTGTCAACCCAGATTTTGAGTGGCTAACTGACGTTCGTGCATAAGCATCGGAAAGGGCAGGAAAGCGTAAAAGCGCCAGAAAGGGCCAGAACGCGACTTGCGCGCGCTTTGAGCGGAGTGTGAGATTAGAAAGTATATTCAATGTTGTAACGACATGGATCCATTATGGCAAGATATGTTTCCACTACGCGCTCGCTCAAGCTTCACAATATAGCTTCCTTTCAAAACATCCTAGTTGTTTGCCTACAATTAATTACAAGTCACATGCTCATACTTATCACAACGCCGAAAGTAAAGTATATCCGTCGACGACCGCCCCGTTTCGTGCATTAATACGGCCGCGGGGGTGCCTTTTTACAGCCTTTCCAACTTTACAGCACATTGCAGCGCGCGGGAAATTCGCAGCTCACAGCATCCCTATCCCTTAATCTCTTTTATTGATCAAGCTTTCTCAACGTTTTTTCTTAATTCTTATTATAGGAACTTACATGTTCCCACCACGTAAATTCATCGCTTCAGGCAAATTTAGAAGAAATATGAGCTTTCTTTTTCGCTGCAGTGGCGGATATCCTCGCTATGATTAGGAATGCTATATTTTTCAGTGTTTCAGAATGATTTGCCATTTTCGCAGAGACCACTGAAGTGTTATTTCAGCATCCTACATCAAGGACACATGTAGATGTCCTGGAAAGAACATTTGAGTGGTCTCCTCTAAGGAAAAGGCATGATAGCCATGACTGCTTGTAGAAAAAGCTTATCCCTTCTCCTAACTAGGCCCAAGACAATATTCTACGACTCTAAAAATATTGTCTCGTAGGTAAAAAGGAGGTAAAACCAATAAATGTGCCAAAACTTTTTTGCTGGTCGTTCAGTATCCATTGAAGCAGAACTTGCAAGATATTCGATCATCAGGAGATTCGAAGAGGAAGAGAAAGAGTAACTGCCTGAAATGAAGATTAAGAAGAAAAAAGCGATAAGAAATGCTTAATCAACAAAAGAGGTTAAAGGACACGGATGGTGCGAGTTGCAAAAGCCCCGCGCTGCAGGGACTGTAAAGCTAAAAAGGCTCCAATAAGGCACGCCCGCGGTGACATAAATGCAAGGAACGAGGCGTCGTCGACGGATATCCTTTATAGGTCATTCGCTCAAAGTTAAACATAACGTATTGTCGTTACTGTTCCCAAATACATTTTCCTTTTAAATAAACAGCTCTAGGTGTTTAGGTCCTAGATGAGAAATACCTGGAAAGCACAAGACTTTGAGCACAGAGGATTGCCTCCAAGTTGGCATGAAAGAGCCTCACTGGCAACCACCACGCAAAGTAACACAATCAAGGTGAGTGCAAACTTCATCATTCTCCTCTCTAAAATTGTTGACGGTACCCATCTATCGGTCACGTAATACATTAGTCAAGCATTCAGGAAAGTATGCCAATTCAAGATCAAGTTGCACTTGGTCGAGTATAGGGGATAGGAAATCTTTGAGTCGCATTTCCTTTGGTTCGATTTGATTTTTTTATGAATCAGAAAAGCAGCTACACTAAAAGAGATGAAGACTCGCCTCCACGTGCAAGTGACGGTGTGCAAGTAGTCGGAAGTATCCGCTACTTATTTCCCTCAGTGCGCTGCTCTTATAACTACGATTAGACAGTGAAAAGAGATCCAAAAGTGCAAGTCTTAACGATTGTCACTCTTGTAAGGACAGAAGAGCCTCATTTCTGCAGCAGTCATGTTTTCACCAAAAATTGCGGACCTCTCCTTTTTTCAGAAAATTGTTCCTAATTATAACACTGTGATTATGAAAGTTCCAGTAGCTCGGTAGGTGTTGTCTATCCAATCAAATCCGCTCGTGTATAATCTCCTTCTTTCTTCGTTGTAGGAATTATTCACATTTGGAAGGTTTATGCTTTACTCTGCTCTTAAAATTTAACAGACACTCTAACTATATAGTAAGAACAAAGGAAGGAGAGATATGATGTGTACGATACAATGTGAGAACTTCAACGGCATACATTTCGATATAAAACAAATCTTTAAAATTCTAATCATATATTTGCACTCCTCAACAAGCTCTCATTATAGTCATCAAAAAACAGCAAATTTTGCACGAAATATTGAAATTGGGATTTTGAAAAATCGCATTCTTCGCCTATTTTTGTTTTTGACTCTCGTGCTGTAAGGAAGACTTTAGCCATATGCTTTTTAGCTTTGTGCTTGAGCAATTTGGAGCTTCGTAGGTTTCTTGGAGAAAAGTTACGATTTTTTGGCAATCGTTAGCTATAGATTTTGGCATCAAACTTTGAGGGAGTCGAACTTTGTGCAAAAGTCGTAACATGAGATGCGGTAGAACTGGTTCAACATAAAATATTAGGTTGTTACATTTGTTACATTTTTCCGTCTTTCTCTGGAAAACCCTAGAAAATTCGACAAGATCTCATATTTGGCATATATGGAAAAAGAATAAAGGACTATCAGCTGGCACCATTTGAGCTCTCACCACATGACTTACAAGGGGAGTGTCAGAGCTCGCAGTGGCCTTTTGACATAAAATGGGTATCATCTGAAGCAGCTTGAGATGCTGATTCCAAAACAGCCTTTCTTAGCTGCAGAACTAATCTAGGACGAGAGTTATTGAATTTAATTTGCGGGAAATTTACAACGCTGAGAATAGCCAAAAATTAAAGCGAACATTTTTTAGCTCAAACATAGATGAAACAGTCCATTAATGTTTAACGTAATTCTACGCCTTCATCAAAGTCATGCTGTGGTGCTTAAACAAGCATTTGAAAGGTTTCCGTGATCGCAGAGTACTTCAAACAATGTGAAATTCAATGTTTAAAATGCCTATAAGTCGCGATCGAGATCAGTTCTGCAGCTAAGAAAGTTTGTTTTGGAATCAGCATTTCAAGCTGCTTAAGATAATACCCATCCCATGTCAAAAGGCCGCTGCACTTCTGACACTTCCCTCGTTAGAGTAAATATAAGGGCAACTCTATAGAGGTACTCCAACCTTCAATTTTTTTCTTTATTTTCTAAAGAATCTCTTATTCTTCTTTTCAGCTTTTTAGATTTTTTATGAATTTTTAAGAATATTGGTAGTAACCACTGGGCTTGGAAGTTTAAGCTCTTTATAACCAGAATTTCAAAAAATTCCAAAATTTGATTTTTTTATGTGTGACATGTATATATCAAAAATCTGCAACATCTTATATATAAAGCTGAATGTCTGTTTGTCTGTCTGTATGTCTGTATGTGTGTACGTATGTTCCGAATAGAAAATTCCATTTCTGAACCGATCCGGACCGATACCGATAACGAAAAGTGGACTGTGACACCCGCCGGGGCCCGAAGTGTATGTGTGCCAAGTTTGGTCCAATCGGTTAAGAAATGGAATTTTCTATTCGGAACATACGGCGGAGCCGGGTAAGCCAGCTAGTTACACATAGTTTGAAGCTAAGAAAAATTTTTTCAGTTGAGTGTAACAAAACTTATGTAACAACCTAATATTTCGTTTTGAAAAATATGAGAGTTTCTTCCTCACTGGAGCTACACTCTCTCTGAGAACTACCTTTTCTCTCTAGTATTTTTAGCCTTTGCGATGTTATGGTCATGCTTCTTCGTTGTCTTACAATAACGCTAGAGTTTCCCTAATTCTGAAATAGTTTCCTCAGCATTTTAAAAAGGGCTCATAATTTATGTAGATAACGCCTTTCACTACATAAGTTTAGTTATTCTATACCTAGTGCAAGTTCTCAAAAATTATAATGGTTTCAATTTACGAAAGCTCTTCAAAAACATTAGCGCAAAAGCGTACCAAAATTTCTAAATGACTACTTCTTCGAAGCAAATATTGATTATCCTGCCCATAAGTGGTAACAATAAACGGCTTCAATCGCAAAAAACTTTGGGACCTTTTAGGTTTTTTGCCGCAGTTATTGTGTTGGTGTTGGTTCAAAAGAGCGAGTTGTGCGAATAAATTTTATTGTGAACTCTTGAAAAGCATCACAGAAATTAGAGCATTTTCGCGCAGTTCGGGTTTTGCTCATGTTTGTTAGCAATCTTTTCAGAGTTCTATAATAAGACTTTCAAACGAGAAATAGATAAGACGGATGAAAGGTTTTTGTATATGGGAAGTGTTCGAAAGCACTTGGTTTGATAGCTAACATAAGAGAAGAGTGCCTCGAACGCGTATTCAAATGCTTTTATGCCGCTATTATGCAGGGTTTTATATTCGTGTAAGAAAAACAAATATAAAACCCTGCATAATAGCGGCATAAAAGCATCTGAATACGCGTTCGAGGCTTATATTCGTGGAAGAAAAACAAATAAATTGTTCGGAACAGCTTAATATATGTTAGAGCGATGTGTGAGCATTAATAAAAGTGCCTAAGTGCCGCACGCATTAACATCCCCGCCGAGGAAGGGATCGCAGCACAAACCAGAACTGCTCGTCTTATTTTGTCTCATGTTTTTGTGAAAGTTTACTCGGTCACTCAGCATCCTGAGTAACTGAGTGAATGTTTTTATGAAAGTTTACTCAGTCACTCAGCACCCTGAGCGACTAAGTAAACTTTCACAAAAACATGAGACAAGATAGGACGAGCAACTGCTGGAAGTCAGCACACTCAACCCATTCATGTTGGTGGGTTCGTTGCTGCCAAATTCACCTCAAAGGTAAATCTTCCTAACTCAAAAGTAACTTTTTGCACTGAGATTTGGGCAATCATCTTGTTTGGAGCTCTATGTCTCTCGCAAACGTGGAAATTTTCAGCTTACGATTAGATCGGCTCCTACAATAAACCATTTGAAGAAGTATTGCAAATCACCCTCAGTGCTTATGTTATGGCTTCAAAAGCAGACACCTAACCTGAAAGGTATTTAACTCAAAGTGGCCTCCCCAAGCAAGGTGCACACCATAATGACCGCCTTAAAATGCTGATTACGATTATGTTTTTCTTATTTGCTTAGCGATTCATTGAAGTTGCAGGCATTTGTTGAGGATCAAAAACGAAATCGGTTGCTGCAGCATTAAATATATCTAGCCGTTGAGCAGATAGAAGACTATCTTGAGAACAGCACCAGAAGAGCATTTGATTGGTATACATCTGATCGATAAAGTCTACTTTGAGTCAAATACCTCTTTTAGACTTTGGAAAAAGTATGAAGGGCATCTTGTATAGAAAAAGTGAGTAAAGGCTGAGAACCTTTCGAGATAAACATTCGTTTCTCAAACAAGAGCTTGACAACTTGCTGGCGTGAATTTAGAGGTAGGACTCATCTCATTTAGTCCACCACAGCTCTTCATCAAATCAAAGGCTTTGTGAGACCAATTTGAAGATTTTTAAAGCAGAATTTCGAGGAATGTTTACGGTCCAGTAAAACATCAGGTTCTTGCTTTATTTCACAAAAAGAAGTGGGGTCTATGTTATCATATATTATCAACAGTCAAGCGTTTTTCTTTCTTGTACTCGCTTAAGCACACGTTCGTTCAACAAGCATTTGCTCTGATGACGTGCAAAACTATGTGTGCCAAATAGGATCTTAAAGTTACAGCAAATTTATTGTAAACAGCGTAAAATATGGCAAAAAGTCCAGAAAGGTAATGGCATAGATATGGAGAAGTAAAAACCAAACACCGGAAAAGATACAGAGTGTAGAATGTCAGCTACTTCGTGGATTCTTTTTTTGGTAAGCATTTTCATGGCTCAAAGCAAATAAAATCAATGGCAGTCATTCAGTTATAAGCTAAACATGTTATCCAAGATCGTAACAGATAAGGATTGAAGACAAATTTTTCTGAATTGTCCATCCAGCTGTGCATCCAGTGCACAACATATTGCACAATATATCTTACTATCTTTTCCGCAGCTCTGCAGATCATCAAGTTACATAGGTAAGTCGTTCCCTCATGCGGATGCTATGACAAATGCTTAACCATAGAGATATTCGTAGGGCGGACTGAGGGAAGGGTGAGAGGTCTCAGGAGCTTCGCTAGCCCTGAGAAGAGAATGCAAAATTTCCGAAGTAGCTTGATTCTTGGCCAGATTCTAGTCGGGGCGCGATTTGCCAATATTCCAATTGTCCATAACACATCCTGCATTATAAATATGCAGAGTATAAGACATTTTTAAACTCGACTCAACACCGAAAATCTGCCGACAATCTCCTTCTCTCAAGGCATAAGCACGCAAGCTTTAGATGAAAATCAACTCGAGTGCCACTTCCTCAATTTTTAAAAGGGAGACGTTTTTGACACAGTGACAACATATTGGAAGGATTTGATTGCACGCTTCAACGCAGAATACGACAGCATAAAAAGAGAGCAATACTTTTGCAGTGCAAGGTGTTTGCGCTTATAGATACCGATGATTC